TTGCACCAGGTCTCTACCCGTCCTTATCAGCTTCTCAGAATAATATTAATTGTTTGAGAACCATTCAACGTTCACAAACCTCTTATCACATGTCTCTTAACCCAATATGTCGTACAATTAATTTGATTAGCTGTTAGAAGAGGCGTTTTGCGTTGTTGTTGTACTCTGCGCCAGACTCTCGATCAGTGGCGACGAGAGCACAAAACGGAATGGATGTGGGGAACAATAAACACATTTTCTTTTTTCCCACGTTCCCAGCTCTTTTCTCGATACCTTGATAAAGAACCTGTTAAAGGTTATCGTTGTTTGCTTCGTCCATTTTTGGGAGGCAGATGACACTCTGTTTGTTGGAATTATCCTTATGTTCTATGGAAAGTTATTATATGGCTGTGTCTCACAAGGACTGGGAACTACCGAATTCACGAATTTGATTGGCTGAAATCAATATTGAAAGCGGTCTAGATTTTCCCATCTAGACCGGCATCTAGACCGGTCTAGAAAAAAAAGGTACAAAGAATATAAAAAATTGGCATATAAGACACAGCCATATAATAAACATCTTATTAACCGAGCTAGGTCGGTCTGTATGGGAGAATCTTGACCTCGGTCAAGATTCTCCCATACAGACCTCCCGCTCGGTTGATAAGAACTAAATATTTTTCGTCTAGTCACGAGCGTGGGGCCAAGAAAAAATTATCGGAGAGCGGAATCCGAAGGTCTGAAGTTCGATTCCTCAGGGGGATCCAGAATGTTTTCTTTGTCCTACGCTCGTGACTAGACGAAAAACATCTTTCTGTATTTCTTTACCGAGCTCAAAACTTGCCATCTTTCTTATTCTTCATCCTTGCGTTTGTCCTACAAACTTTTTCTCTTTGTAACCCTTTGAGCAAATTTGTGTATACATTTTTTCTCTTACAGGATCCATGCCACCCGATTCTCACTCCATATTTGAAGAAGGAGCCGTTTTCAAATCATTTAGATTAGTTAACGGAGGTGTCTTTCAAGAAGAAGGTACAATATGATTTGTCGAACTCGTTACCTCGCATCTCCAACCTCTAAAACTCAGGCTCCCCTTTCTGACGATGGACTTGTTCTCGGTACCAGAACAGTTGAATAAACAGGAAAAAGTCGTAAATAAAGTAATTTCTTTCGAGTTCAAAACATAACAAGACCAAGATGGCCGCTACAGGAAAAAAAAGAGTCACCTAGCCCGCGGTTTTCAGCGGCAAAACCTCAAAATGGCGGGAAAACGAGTGGTTTTGAACAAATTCTAATTTAACAGGCCCCGGTTGTTCAAAGGGTGGATCAATCACTATCCAGTGGATAGTGCAGTATGTTTCGGTAACACTTATGCGCTGGATAGTAATTTAACCGTTGGATAGCGTTATCCGCTCTTTCAACGACTGGCCCCAGTACTTTTCATCTTCAAATGTGTAATGATAACTTGATGCGCGCCAACTAAGCCGAGTGAAAAGACACCGAAAGTATGTTTTTTCTGGAAAAAGAGGTAGCCCTTTTTTTTCCTCAAGTGCTACAATAGAATTCTGTACAGCAATTAACGTCCAGGATCAAAAGGAACCTATATCTGTTGTATTGTGGAGGTGACAAGGATCTTTCCAGTAATTTTAATTTGTGGTCTTTGTTCAACAGCACTGATTGAAAAGCTAATGGAGCCAAGCAAGTATCCCGGATGTAGTGGAACGCGCAATCTCCATGACAACCTGTCCGACCTTAAGGCCCAGGTGGCAGCTAATCATAAGGTAAGGCAATAACAAGTGCTCTTCGTCCAATCCGTTCTCCTAGCCGTCGAATCAAGTTGCTCGTGAGGTAATAGCGGATTTTGTGATACCATGCTAAATCTACTCGCGCGAGGCGATTCTAATTCAGAAGTACCATTCTTCAAAATCGCCGCTGCGAGATTGATTGATGTCTATCGTTGAGAAATCGGAATAGAGAAATTGCAGTCTCTCCGATAATCACCCGGGGAACCATGTCATCATCAAGAATATTTCCCATAAATTTTGCGAATATTTGATATTTTGTTCAATTTTTTCGGATTATTTCTTTACTATTAAATGCCACGAGTATGGTCGATGAACCGCAAAGTTTGGCACAGATATTTTGGCCGTCACGTGAAGGTTCTTGTGTGTCATAACATCATTCTATATGCTCACATTTTGCTTTGCAGGGAATCAAACTTATAAGTAGCTTGATTCAAGAATACAGTCTGCCGGTGGTGCAGGCTTACATGAAGTATATCCAGGTAAGTGTTATTTCACTTAATTCTCACGGGCTTTATTTCAACCGAAATGAAAGTAATCTGGTCTGTAGATCCTTTTAAATTTGTTATTTTAACGAAAAATGCTTTTTGTGCCTTTCTTTTAGCATAATGCTGAAGTTGCTGTTCGAGAAATGCTGAAAGACATTGCTGTGAAAACTAAGGTGAGAAAACACTGTAGAAACTGGAGTACTAGTAGTTCCTCCTTTTCGGCGGTCCGTCACTCAAGGAAATACAAAATTAGCAAAAAAAATATGGTGTTAGCGCGCCGCGTGAAAGTCTGGGAAACAGCTTTTTAAGCACAGTCAAGAAAGAGGGATATTAATTTCTTGTTATCCGAAAAATTTTACATCTCTCTTTGATGAATTTTGTTCGGATAGACATCCTATTTGTAAATTTACTTTTCTTGTTATATCCAAAGGAACGCACTGGAAAGACAGTACTATCCGCCGAAGATCACATGGATGACGGCTCACGCATCAAACTAACAATTTCCATCGATGAGAAAGAGGTATGCAATGGTCATGTGAAGATGTGGAATTCCGATTCATTTTTCGGATTTTCAATGCACCCTTTTCCCAAAGATGTCGACTAAGTATCCAAAGGAGGGAGAGGAGGCGGGCACGTAAACTTTTTCGGTTGAAGTCTTCTGTGTTCTGTAATGTTTTTGTACTGAACAGCATTCGCCTCAAGACTTGTCCCATTATCTCGTTCCAGGGTAGCGCAGTGTTCGACTTCACAGGAACTGGGCCAGAGATGTACGGCAACTGTAATGCACCTCGCGCCATCACCTTCTCTGCCATCATTTACTGCCTACGGTGTATGGTCAAACACTCCATACCGCTGAACCAGGTAATTATGAGCCTCGTCTGTTTTTCCTGGCGTTCATCCAAAATAATTTAACCGAGTCCACTAGAGATCTAATATACTATGAAGCTTTTAAGGCCCACTGACACTCAGTTTTTCCGTCCTTCAGGGTTGTTTAGCCCCAGTAAAAGTGATTATTCCGCCTGCTAGCGTTCTGGATCCAACAGACACTGCGGCAGTTGTTGGTGGGAACGTACTGACAAGTCAGCGAATTGTTGACGTGGTGCTGAAAGCCTTTGAAGTGTGCGCTGCGTCACAGGTTAGCGAGAAGTCACGTGATATGCGCGTGTTGATGTTCTGGTCTACAGTTTTACGTCTCTTGCACCGGAATGTCTCGCACACTTAACTTCGATTTAGAGCTGTACACACAATAAGGAATGTGTACTACTGACAGCGAGGTATCGCTTTGTATAGGGTTGTATGAACATAACAGCGTTTGGAGATCAGCATCGCCAGTATGTTGAGACAATCAGTGGTGGATCCGGGGCGGTGAGTAAGTCTTTTATTGTCTGTCTAATTCGCTTTCCACCCGTGTGACAGGGCTGTATGAATAACACGACCTTTGGTGACGAGGGATGCGGCTACTACGAGACAATCTGTGGAGGATCTGGTGCGGTGAGTTGTGTCCACCAAGGATTTAAAGTTTCTAATCACCTAACGAAAAATAATCTGCTGAATTGTGTACTAGCTTCTGCTTACTAAGAAAAGTATTACCCTAGTTATTTATATATCTAGACCATTGTTCAGATGCGTGTCGGAAGTGATCCAGTATGGTATGGTTTTGTTATTCATGGCTCTCTGATAAATACAGAAAACCTGTCGTCCAAACAGATGCAAAATTAAGCAAGTGTAGACTTGGTCATTTGTGTTTGTCCGCGCTTGAGTTCGGCCACGTTTAATTCTCTTTGGCTGCTTGTGTTGTTTGTACGCGCTTGAGTTCGGTAACGTTTAATTCTCTTTGGCTGCTTGTGTTGTTTTTACGGGCTTGAGTTCGGTAACGTTTAATTCTCTTTGGCTGCTTGTGTTGTTTTTACGGGCTTGAGTTCGGTAACGTTTAATTCTCTTTGGCTGCTTTTGCTGTTTGTACGCGCATGAGTTCGGTAACGTTTAATTCTCTTTGGCTGTTTGTGTTGTTGGTGCTTGGCTCTGATTGACTAGTGATCATATGAGGGGTTGATATTATGAATCTCAATCGTAAATTGTTCTTTAGTCTTTCCTTGTTTGTCCTCCGCAAATCCGAGATTTATCTTTTATTGTAATATGCTTGACATAGATTTACTCAACTATCCTATCGATATTCGTATAAAAGAAAATGAGTACCGTTTCAAATAGTTTTAACACTGACAGCACCGATACCTCATTTGTGTTGGTTGAAAGAGGGCGGCTATCTTCCTTGCAGGGTCCCACATGGGACGGACGCAGTGGAGTTCATGTCCACATGACAAACACAAGAATCACAGATCCAGAGATCATCGAAAGAAGGTAGATTAGTTGATTAATTTTCACGAGATTAACGGCCACCCCATGGTACAGGTAAGAGGAATGGATGCTACGCGGCCTCAGTCTCGATTATTTTCCAAAGTTTTTCAACATATTCACCACGAGATATGTGGTAGATTAAATTGAGAATTACTAATTAGATATTGGGACTCAAAAGAGTAAAGCACAGAAATTGGGCCAAATACGGAAAAAACCGTTGTACAAAGCATCCGACACATTCTAACACCACAAAATTTAATTAGTTTAAGGCAAAGTGAAGGCCCCGACTAATTTGTCGTCACGTAAAAAGTTTTAGAAAAAGAGTAAGCCTGGGCTACAGAATGATATGTTTTCCGCCATCTTGCTAGGTTTCCAGTGATTCTTCGCCGTTTTCATCTCAACCCCGGTACTGGTGGGAGTGGTTTTCACAGGGGGGGTGACGGTGTTATACGCGAGCTGCTGTTCAGGAAGGAGCAGGTTCTCTCTCTTCTCGGTGAAAGGAGAGCGTTTAGACCGTATGGACTGAAAGGTAAGTCCTAAGGAAAAACACAACAAATAAGCATAGAAATAGTTAAAGTTGATTTAAATTACTCAAAATCGAAAGTATATCTAAGTTGCTATACGGAGCAAATTTCAACCCTGATTTGAAACCGTTTGCTGTGTATTTCAACCATTTCGCCTCCAGAAGTTCTTGGTTTGTAAATATTCATAACAAGTTTGATAAACTGACCAACAGACAGGTATGGAAATTAAAGAAAATTATAAATTAAGGAATTTTGTTTTGATGTGCCACCAAACTCTGATGGCGAGGCAATTTAGAAATATTTGGTATTTTATTTAGGCGAGTCAACTTCAAGATCTTAACGTTGAAAGCGTGAACAACTTACTGCGTTGTATCATTTTTCTCGCAACTTATCTCGACTCGTGTTGCACAGAAAATTAGCTTTAGTGTCGCCCCCTTGAAAAAATGTGCCTTGCATTCGTTGCAAGAACCTTGGCAAGCGATGAAAACTTGACTGAAAGAAAGTTTTTCACACCCCCAGTGACTTAGCCAGAGCTGTACAATGGTTACTCCTGGCAAGAAAATGAAGTTTGTCCTAACTGCGCTACAAAGTTTCAGGAAACCGCCTCCTGGTTATCTCAATAGATAGAGCGCTGGACTGTTGTGCGGGAGGTCGAGGGTTCGAGCCCCGGCCGGACCAACACGCAGGGTCTTAAAATAATTGAGAAGAATATGCTACCTTTCTATGACATCAAGAAATGGTTAGATATTCTAGTCTTCTCGGATAGGGACGAATAAATGGAAGTCCCGTCTCCTGCAGGGTTAGGGGCAGGAGACGTTAATTTCCCACGCATGAGATTACCGTGTGATGGATGTCCTCCCCTGGGGTGGGATGGGTGGTTAACAGGACCCCCGTTTATATCAGTGTTTACTACACTGAAGGGGCTATCCTGTATAAATATAGATGTCTGTCTGTCTGAATGACTGGAAGAAAATGCTTAGTGTGTGAGAGGGCTGTTATTGCGAATATGAGTTCCTTTATTACTATAATGTTACGTAAAGTTGTTTTTTTTCCTTTGATGACGTTTAGTAAGGTAAATACGGATTTTATTGCAGGCGGTGAACCGGGCAGTCCAGGTTTAAGCCTGTTATTGAAGTCAGATGGTCGAACAATAAATCTCGGAGGTAAAGCATCGGTCAAAATGAAACCTGGGGTAAGTACTACAAAACCCTGCATCAGTCGTCAACACCTAGATGACATATAGATCACATTGCAAACTGTTGTGAGAGGGATAATGGGGGAGGGGAGGGGGAACGGAAATCAGAAACTACCAAACTCTGTTAAGACCGACGAAAAAGAAATTACCCCAAAAATCCAAAATCGAGGTGAAGAAATCAGTTATACCAAAGAAGTAAACATGTGGATAATGACACTGGAATCGAAACCGATTTTTCTTTCATTAGGATCGAGACTATAAACTAAATGTCAAAAAAGGGAAAAAACCGAAGAATTACAACGGAAATAACGGATAACCGATCTAAACAATGATTCCAAATCCAAAACGCAATCCCCTGCTGATTAAGAATCTCTTATCTCTTTGTCAGGACTGTTATCGTGTCGAAACTCCTGGCGGTGGTGGTTACGGAGCACCAATAGGAAGTCTGGGACAGGAAAATGACGTGGGTGATCCCCCGTCAAGAAGTGACAAGGAAAAACCTCAACATTTTGCAGCCTGTGGGAGTCTGCACAACTACAAGATGATGCAAGAGTCGGCCTAAGTATATAGACGCCATTTAGCATTGAACTGCTAATCAAACAATTCTTCAACGCTCGCTTAATTCTTTCATCTCACTGAAAAGAGGACGCAGATTTAAAGTGAAATTTCATGATTATCACAATTTATACAGAAGTACAACATCAAAGCGGGAAAGATACAATTTTTTTTTCCCCAAGCCTAGGTTGCCAACTTTAACGGGGTAAGTAGAAGGTCCGGAGAATGAGGAGGAACGTCGGGTGGGTGGATTGAAAACAAAATCGTTTTTTTTCCGGGAAATAAACTTCGTTCCCAGGGCCTTCTCTGTTCTTAAAATAGAGATGGGTCAGACGCAACCCAGAAGCTCTAGGGACGAGTTTAATGCGCAGTGTCTGTAGTGTTACGTCATCATCAACTGATTTGGAATTTCCTTGGGAGATCTGACAACTGTTCAGTTATTGGAAAGAATTTGATTGAGCTGGGCAAAGAATTTGATCCGATAGAGGGGAAGAACTTACAGCTTTTTAGCTTTCGTCTAGGGGATTGCTCATTTTAGCGGTCATTATAAAGTGCAGGTGGGTAGCTTTTAGCAATTTAGAAAGGAAGAATGGTAATAATGATGAACTGAAATTTTAAAAAACGATAATTTATTGCAAAACTCACATCGCTTAAGTAGGGGTGTGTGGAGGCGGGGTTGATTAGTTTTAAGCTATCCATTGTTCAAAAATTGTTTGCATGGCTATCATAAAAAAGTTCATTTCAGATAAAAAAGGTTAGATTTAAATTAAAACAGAGAGCAGTTATCATCAGCCGGAAAAACTGAAAAAAGAGTTAAATAAATAACAGAAATGAATTGATTTAAAACGTTTTTTATAATTCTAATTTTGTGTCACTTTATTGAATTTAAGGTCTGACTTTCTCAGCACTAACTTGAAGTCTCTCAAAGTCATGCTGGATGTTCTGTTATAGCAATGACAAAAATAACATGAGTGAACGTGACACGACAATTTTTTCAAGTTTGCAGGATTAATCAACTCCCTCCCCTCCCTGCTGGTTTCCGTCTTTAACCAGACATTCCACTTTTTTTTTTCCTTTCGAGCAATCGGTATTAAACAATAGTCAACTTCACTCTGATGCTTTTTACAAATCTAGCTCCATAATCTTCTATCTTAATAAGTATTCTTTCTTTCTTATTTTTGTTGTTGTTGTTGTGGAGTTTTCTTTCTCGTGAGCGCCATAATAATCAACTGATTAGAGGCAAGATTATGCCAACTCGTTCTTTGTTTCTTCGAAGTGTACACAAGCCGACCATTACAAATTGAAAAAACGTGACTTGGAATAACCTAATAAAAAAGTATTACGGTGGCCCAGAAGGCTCAACGCAAACAAAAAGTATACTGCAGCAAATAAATAATTATACTGCAGCAAATAAAAAATATACTGCAGCAAATAAGAAATATACTGCAGCACATAAAAAAAATCAAAACGCAAAGAAAAAAAGTACCGCAGCAAATAAAAAATGCAACGCAAACAAAAAATACTGCAGCAAATAAAATATGCAACGCAAACAAAAAAAAAAAGAAAACGCAAACAAAAAAATTTGAACGCAACGCTAAGGAAGACTGGGTAATAGTTCTTAGTTTCCCGCCTTATTTGCTGCGGTACTTTTTTTCTTCGCGTTTTGATTTTTTTTATTTGCTGCAGTATATTTTTATTTGCTGCAGTATATTTTTTATTTGCTGCAGTATATTTTTTGTTTGCGTTGAGCCTTCTGGGCCACCGTAAAGTATGCTTAAAAAGGTAAAATAACCGCTTGCCACAACAGTAACATGTGAACCGTTGAGCCCCACAACCGCACAGCGGAGATCCCTAACATGACAGTTAGAGCTGTTCAGTGTTTTGTTCTTCAAATGAAGTCTGCGGCACTTCACTGTACTCAAAACCTTTACAAATATAATGGAAGAGAATCGGGTTTTGGTCAAGTGTCACTTCAGTAAAGAGACCAATAGTAAGTGAGATGGAAATATACGACTGAGGTAGGGAACAACTGAGTAACGAACACAAAAGTAAACAGTCGAGGCGAATGGTATGTAGGCTTTATGGATCGTGTGCATATATGTGAAAAATAGTAGTTCCTCTAAGCTTAGATCGAGGCGACAAGGTAAGGTCTGTCTTCATTTGCGCATTTACAAGGGTGGAAACAAGACCAGATCTAATACTTGTAACTATATTTTACCTCCTGAGTGTCACCTTCTGCATTTTTGTTAATCCTGGTCACGGTCGACAGAGTCATATGCATCAGTGGTTGTGTATTAGTCGGTATTAATATTTTATTTTACTTCAGTAAAACCTTTAAGATATCTTGTACTTCTTTGTCGATGTTGCAGCTGTCTGCCTTCCATTAGCGCTTTCCCTTGTCTCTGTAGAAGCAAACTTCGACTTTTCTGTTTTCCTGAAAGAAGTCTAATTGAGCAGGGAATGAAGTGCAAGTACATGAGTAAAAAAACAACCATTGTCGCCCCTTTGGAGCAATAAAAAGTGCCTCAAATTTGTATACCTCGTTGTAGGTCGAGACTCTTATTTGCATTTAATAAGTGGAATGATGGCAACCTTGCTGAAAGTCCAGACACGAGGGCGTCGCATCCCTAAGTACAACAATTAGTAGTAGACTAGTCGGCGGGACTTACCCGCGTGCCACTTATTCATGATTTAACGACAACAGTCCGTGATGGAAAGCTGCACCAGAGTGCGCTTCATTCTCCACGTGAGAGTGTGCGTTCGATACTCCCGGCTTCCTGGTCAACCTTCTGTGGCTGCCTGGGCCACAAATTACTTGGTAGCCCGCGTATTGTCCGTAGTAGCTAGGTTCATAAAAGGGATTATATAAGTAGTAAGGATCTGAAATCTCGATCGCTGCATCGCTTTGAATGCGTAAGAAGGAAACAACTCTCCTTAGTGGGTATAGGTACGGCCACATTTCGCCGTGGGAGGTCTGGGTAAAAGACTGCTAAGAGTTGTAATGGAAAACTACGGTTTGCACACGGGTAGACATTAGCCTTGGTCCAAACAGAAAAACCGATTGCAACGCAGGCACAAGCAAACGATAACACGATTACTACGAGGGACAATTTTTTTTATAAATCAATTATACCTACAGATGAAGAAAATTAAGAGGCATAAATAATTGAAAAGAGACCTAATCTTCTAGCTCGATAGCTTTTCCGAATCTTATTTCCTGGGTGGGCTTCCGGTTAGTCATTGGTATGCTTAGATAGTATGACAATTAAACCACTCACTCTTTAACTGCACATCAGTATACTCGTGCGAATTCTTTTTTTCGTTGAACCGTTTCATTAATTCGAACACCCGATTACTAGCCTGTAGATGAATACCATAAATTATCTTGGTACAAACTCGGACAACCTGTGTATACTCTGGGTGGTGCCCAAAAAGACCCCACAGACACAATAGATGGGCGTGTCTCCATATCTCTCGTTCACTTTTTCGTGAAACAAACCAAAATGTGTTCCTTTTCTATCTCTTACATAGAATTAACCAAGGAGCTTTACGTTTCGTAGGATAAAAGAGTTTAAGTTTGAAAATTCATCCTGTCATTGATTGCTGTGCGATTTATGATCACGTTTTATTGGATTGTGTCAAATACACTTTTCACGCCAGAGGCGTCCCTTCACGACGCCAAGCACACCCTACGGCCATTTAACGCTTGAACGGGGAATGTATCGTGGACGTGAGGTTTTACATGTCTACCTCTTTAACCTGTCCTTAAAACAGGCTCAAACATTGAGACAACAAAACAATTCAGATTATCCATGCTTAAAATTTCCTCTACAACCTCCTGAGACAATAACATCCGTTTAGAACAGTATTTGACTCCTACTTGGGTATTTATCCGAGTGTTTAAACCTGAAAGTCATGTTCGTGCCGGCCGGCATAACTTTTTGTGAGGATTACTGGCCTTTATCGAGGTTTCACGTCGCCCCTCTTATCAGAGTTTGAAAAGGAAGGATAGTAAATTGAAACCACAGAAGGGGCACCAACCAGTAAACGCAGCGAAACTGGAAGTACATACTACGCAAAAAAAAAAAAAAAGAAAGCAGAGAAAAGAGGACAAATCACGCAAAGGATGATAAAACAACTGCCACCACGTTAACAGCCATGAACAGCTGATGTGGCCCCCTTTCTGCACGGTATGGCTCGACCAAAGGGCTCAGGGTTGCCTCATAGAAAAATGTAAATAGATACGAGTAAACAGCATTTGTGATGATGTGGCAAAATGTCATCATTGGTCTGCAGGTCGGCACAAAGAGAAAGTGGGGCGCAGTTCGATAAATATTACACTATCACTCCTCTTCACTTTCAACCAGCGTCTCTTTTGGCAGAATTAAATATTCTATCAGCAGTTGTAGCGATACGTGAATATCGTAGTTTCTTCCTTTGTCACGGACAGTTTATCTGTACAGCGGCAGTCTTCACGGTGTCACTTGAATAAGAAGATTGGTACACAAATTGAATCTAAATTGAGAAAGATTAGCCAACGATGGCGCAATACGCGATAGTGCGCAATATGCGGAAAACTTATAAAAACCGAAATTCATTTAATTCCCTACTAAATCGTAAGTAAATTTAATCCGATTTAAGCCAAGAATTATGGTTCCATGATGCCGGGTATGGTTTCGTCTTCACCGCATCGAGCGACATCACACTTCTGTACCTACTTCTGAGTACTAATCGTTTTAAAGTTAGGAATTTTTTAACCATTATTTTTAAACAAAAGCTTGCATAGTTTGTTTTCTTCAAAACACGAGTTTCTCTTAGCCTCAGTCAACCGTGTGATTGATTAGTAACTGCCATGCATTAGGGACGTCAATCTTGTGTTTACTTTTTATGTAATGTAATTAACATTCAAAAAGCGGGGGTCCCTAGCACCGTTTTAAATATTCAAACAGCAATTTCATCATCCAAAACTGAAGTTCATCCTTCCTTATTCTTGGCGTTTGTGACCCAAAGAAGATCAAGATTGGAGAACATTGAATTTCCGCAATTTAAACGTAATTTTCGGGTTACTTGTGTATGTGCACGCAATAGGTCAATAAAACCAAGCCAGGACTTGTGAAAGCTCTGAATGCCTTCACTTTCGTTTCTAGCTCTAATAGTTCTCAAACCTTTTTATTTTATTTCTTTTCTTTCAGCTGGCCCCTTTAGGTATTTTCGTTGCCGAGGCCTAGAGCAGGCTTATGGAAAAGCGTGACCTTAGTCCCTGGGGTTTGTTATGCGTGACCTGATTGGTTCAAATTATGGCGGGTAATTTGTTCAAAAGGGCACGTGGAGAACGTGCACAGATAATATTCGCGCAAAAGTCATTCATTCATACCGATAGGAGACCTGGACGCGCAAAGGTCTCGATTGATTGATCAAACGGCACATCTGTAGAAAGCATAAACATAATTTGTATTCCTCTCCCACTGCATCGTTCAGTCCGCTTTTCGATTGATTTAGTAAATGGCAATTGGAAGGTTAGGATCGTAAAACAGCAGCGATTGTTTATTTTATGAAAGCAAGTGGATCATAAACTCTCCACTCAGTGTTTGCTATATTAACAGGCAAATCAAACTGACTTCTTGCTTTGCCCTTGGGCAACTAATTTTTCAAATCTGGGAGTGTTCTTGTCCAGAACGTGTATTTCCACAACTCATGATAACTTTTAAGTTCTTACATAGCTGGTAACAATTATATTTCTAGTGACAGTGCAGCCAAAGACCTCTGCCATTTGAGATTGGATTCCGTCGAGGAAGCGAAAACACGAAAGAGGAGGGCAAGTATGAAATGTTTTTCTCTGATTTTGTGCGTACCAAAGATTTGACGAAGCTTTCGTTCACTTTTAGAAGGCTTCTTGTTCCAGAGGAGCTGTAAGCAAGCGGACGAGAGCGGCACTTCAAGAGAAGGTAAGACTATGTTTTGCATTCCCGCCATGGACGAAACCCTCCCGCCATTTTGGACAGTCATTGTTCTGCATGATCGAGATGTTTGCTTTGAAATAATTTTTCTCTGAGCCTACAGTTCGTATTGGTTGAATAAGAAAGGGACCTTTACCAGCTTATTTAATCTTTGGGGCGGTATGCGAAGATCGGGAAAATTTCGACAATTGCATTCCCCCAATAAGCCGTGAACAGCTCATCCAAAAATGGCGAAGTACTGAGTCTCGATGGAGTAGATATTTCATTCTTTCTATTTTGCTGTCGAACCCCTAGATGCAAATACGTCGGAAATAAAGGTATTTTCGTGAAAAAGAAACAAAAATGATTCAAGGGATCGACATTCCGGGGGAGTCGGAATTTTTATTTGAGTTTCTCTAATTACTACCACTGGCGTGGTTCGTTTACCCCCTCGCTCTGTAACTGGTGGCAGTATTAACAGATTGTGCCAAAAGCACAGCTATTTGTGATTAAGAATTGGTGTGTAACCAGTGACCAATTTATCTGAACTGGTGGTTCTGACTAAACGTCCCTCTAACATAACGTGCTCCATTCTATTCTGTACAACATAGTTTAAAAATCAACAGTCGTGTATACGTAGAAAATCCCTTGCATGATCGCTCACCTATTCTTGTCGCGGCTTAAACAGGTTCATCCTAACTTCATGCTACATAGATATTTGTAATTATTCGTTTTTCTAAGGAGATAATTTCCTTTGCCATTAAAATACCAGAATTGCATGGGCATGACTATTTGTTCCACTTTTAATTATCTAATTTAACCGATATTAATTTCACCTCGTGGGTAAAAGGAGTTTAACTGCAAAATTTATTAGATATTAAATGAAAAGTTCTCATTTCTCTTGTGGTGTTTTTGAATTTCTGCCAAAGCAACAGAGCAATGAATTTTTATTCTAATATTAAATGGCAAATTCTTGAAATTTTGTGGTTGCCACATGAACTGGTGTAATATTTTTGAAAAACTTAACAGTACATTTCTTTTTTTTCCATGATGGGTTGTTTACTTTAAGTATCACGGTTGCTTCAAAAATAATAACAGCCTTCTGTTTGTTGTGGAGGACAACCAATGTTTGTATTATTTGTTCTTAATCTGGTTTTGTATTATGAAATTCTGTTATATTCCATAAATACTATGATATTCATTTCAGTTATATAACAGTTTCCCATTGTAAGAGTACATAACATGTTAGATATTCAGAAGATTTTAATATGTTGCTCAAAGGCCGTGGACTTCTCTTTTGGAAAGTGCTCTGTTACTTTGCATAATTTTTGATTTGGAAGATGACCTCATGTTGACCTTATTATTATCTATTATTTTAAGCTCTGAGCACACTGGGCGAAAATGTAAATAATATGAGAAATTCACAGGTAAATCTTAACTAAATTAATTATCCCTTGATTCTCTTGGTCACATTATGGCATCCTGTTTGGCTTGTTTGAAGCCTTGTATTTGTATTTTGTTAAAAAAAAAAAAAAATGCCTAAACTAGCTATGAAATGAAATTTAAAATGTGTCTCTGTAGGTAAATATTAAAAAAAAATGCGAGCAGAAGCGAATTAAGATTGTGTTTCATAGTTGACTCCAAATTAAATTCTTAATTCTTATTGGAATTTTCAGATAAAGAGATCACAGAAATCTAATCAATTGACAAACACAATTGTTCATCCACATTTAATTTTTAGTGTGAAATATTTCAGAGTAAAAAGTAAATACCATTGTTGCTTTGTTTTCTTGGTCATGTTTGCTTAATTGCCCAACAAAACATAACTAACTGGCTTGAAGACAAGTTACCTTGGTAGGAGTTACCCTTAAAAATGAAAGGTCAAATGAAAAAATATTCAACATACTGAGAAAACAAGTCGATATTGAAGATTAAATGTCAAGAAATCTAGGATGGATTTTAAGGAAATCTCTGTAGACTGGTGTTTAATACCTTAATTTAAGTGTCCCTCTCTTAGTGTCTGGGGGTAGATTTCTACCATCTGTTCCTCTAGATTCTTTATAATGATATTACTTACCTGACATGAAAAGAAAAACAATCAACATTTTATTTCAAGCAACTTACCCAAGTTGAAAAAAAAATTAGTGTTTACTTTGGCTGCAAGGGAAGAATAATTCAGTTTTATTTGGTGTACTTAGATAAACCAAAGAGTCTTCCAGTTAATTTGCTTAAATATGATATGGGTAACAAAAACACAGCTTAAAACTCTGCTTCACAGCTGTATAAACCTAATAGTGTTCCATGCAAATCACCTGTGACAGTTTGGAGGTAATCTAGAAAAGAATTATAAATCACGTCTCTTTTAAAGGGCGCATATGTTTGAACCAGAGTAAATGGAGAACTACCTGGCCCACATATGCTACTCTTTTCAATTTTTATTTTAGACTTTAACCCTACAGGGTCTCTTTGTCATCTTTAGTAGCCATCTTTATGTTTGAAAATTTGTATCAGTGTGAGGAGGACCTAAATTCTTTTTCATGTCATCATTCTCAATGAGCCAGAAATAGTTCATAATGGCATACAATTGCAGTGTTTTTGTTTAGTTTGTTAGCTATTCAGCCTTTCATTTTGGTATTGAGATATTGTAAATATAAGGGTGAATTAGTAATTAAATCAGCACTATTTGTTAGCAATACCAGTCGTTTTGCTGTGTCTACAGTTTTAAAGAATTGTATGTTTTCTCACTCCTTTAATGTTTCAAAATACACTTAGTTGCCTTATCCTACCCCTGCCAGTTTCCTACAGTTTTTGTCTAAGGGTTCATGAGTAAGTGTGAATTTTGGAAATATAGATTTCCACCTATATTTTTGAGCAAAAATATTTCACAGGTTTCAAATACTATTTTGTCTGAAGATGTCATCAATTATTAGATGATGTGCAGCCAATAATTGGCTCCTGATGTTTAATACATCACAAATATCATGTGTGCATTCATTTACCTTTGAAATGACTGGTAAACTTATCTGTTACCATTATTGCTATGTTTTAGAAAACCCAGATGTCTGTGCAACCATTTTGTAATACTGAGGGAAGCATTAGTGGATTTTCAAGGATTGAAACAAGAAGTCAACGACAGTCAAAGGCGTTGAAAGAACACACAGCAAGCAATTCTCTCCCTGACTTTGGAAAATCTAGTAGTTTCACCTTCAGCAATTACTTTATACCAGTTGTTAAGAGTGTTATGCCTCTTCCTGAGCTTGATTGGGCAGATCCCAAAGAAGTGTGGGCAATAATGCTTGAGAAAGAGAGAAAGTATTCTAGAGACCCTCTGTATTTTAGAAAACATAAATTTATCCAGCCAAGAATGCGGGCAATTCTGCTGGAATGGCTAACAGAGGTAAATGCATTTGACACTATCCTTTTCCTTTGCATAGATATTGTACATAGGTTGATATATTCAGATTATTTCGTTACCCCTACCAACGCAGCCCCAAACAGTTTCTTTAGAAACTATCAGCCTTTATTATTGTACATAGGTGTTAGGTGATGGTTTAGAGGATGTCTCACCATACCATTAAAGTAGTCTCCTTTGCAAAGATTGAGGAAAAAAATGAAATGTATAAAGGTGGGAGGGGTGTGTGCTTAATGTAAAAATACCTGATAAGGGTTGAGGAATGGATTGTTTTTCTAAAGTCATACAACTAAGAGATTTGATTCAAACTAGACTAAAATTGTACTGAACATCCTTCTGACATTCTTAATATATTCTCCTTCTGATTAGGTTTGTGAAGTTTATAGACTGCACAGGGAAACATATTATTTAGCAGTGGACTTTGTGGATAGATACCTGTCAGTTAAACATGACATTGCTAAGCAGAGACTACAACTTGTTGGAACAACAGCTTTGTTTATTGCTGCTAAGATGGAGGTAAGAATTGAAGTCAAAGAAGTAAATTATTTTGGTAATGACTACTTGTGAGTCTGGCAAATAAGGGATATTTTCAGGAAGATCTGTATGTTTTTCATGGTTCGTACAATCTTGAAAAGGTCTTGAATTTTAACGGTCGTCTTGAAAAGTCCTTGTATTTGATTAAGTCCTTGAAAAGTACTTGATTTCTTTAGTAGGTCATGAAAATTCCTTGAAATTTGGCAACTTCTGTGCATCTTATGGCTTTTCTGATAAATTAAACGATTTTGCTAAGGAAAATTACTTTATACCAGTTATTAAGAGTAGTAACTACCAAAAAGTGAAAATGGTCGGTATAAAACGTGAGTAGTACATGAACCAAAGTTGGATGTGGGCCTCAATTTCATGCGCAAGGCCTCTGATGTGTGGTAGTCCACCATGTGCTTTTGTTTTAAGGGGCAATGTAAACATGTAGTGCTTTGGCTATGTTTTGGTCGATCGATTTTTCATTTCCCTATGTTTTCAATTTAGTTGAGCAAGGGGCAAATATGTATTCAATCGTAAATGGTTTAGATTTATGAATTAAACTTAGTCCTTGAAAATCATTTTTTGTCCTTGAAAAGTCCTTGAATTTTGTCAGTCTGAAGTTGTACGAACCATGATTTTTTGTTGGCTAATAGGTGAAATTGCACCTTTTCTTTGCACCTGTAGAGTATTTAGGGTCCCACTTAAACATTGAAGATCTCATCAACTACACCAAGGTACTCATGTTGATCCAAGCTGAAGACTGAGATTAACCCTTTACACCCAACATCAATATGCATATTCTCCATACTGTTCTCTATACATTTCCTGAGGTGCTGACAAGGAGAATTTGGTTAACAATCAATAGCTAACCCCAGAAACCCCTGCTAGCACTTCTCTCACATTTCTAAAATAAAGGAAAAAATCAGAACAATAATTAAATTTCCCTGATATAGTTGGTGCAAAAAATGTCATGAAATATGGTTGGTTAACTCATTACATTGTTTTGATTTAATTTGAGCCTGTTAAAGTAGATTAAATGTAATTCATTTGTCTGTTTCAATTATTAACAGGAAATTTACCCTCCCAAAATAAGCGAGTTTGCCTATGTCACTGATGGTGCCTGTACAGAAAATGAGATCCTAGATGAAGAACTACTCATGTTAAAGGTAACTAAATGATTGTAATGTGGCAAAATTCTTGTAAGGAATGCTTCTCTGGTTATATTATATCTATACCATTTCACAGAAGATATAACGGCCAATTAATAGTTAGGTAAGCTGGTGACCCTTTTTAATGTGGTCAAAAACACTTAGCTCAAAACATTTCACTTTTGAAATACTTTCTAATTTAAGAATTGTTCGCTTTATTTTCTATGGCATTATAGAACAGCTTTTTTGTAATCGTAATCGTAATTCACATTATATTACATTACATTACAATTGGGCTATGGAGGGAGGAACTTAATCCCCATATTAACTATACCCCATATTATAATTATAATAAATTACATATATCTATACAAATACTTCAATTGGATCAATGTCAGTTTGTTTGCAACAGTGCACCCACCCCTTCCCTAACACCAAATTAACCCTAACTTGTTATCGGTCGACTGTTGTTGGGTGGGGGGGACGGGTGGGTACAGCTGTTGTTGGGTGGAGGGGGAGGGGTGGGTACACAGTTGCTCAGATACGGATATTGATTTCAACACTTTCTTGTGGCATACCATGATATGTTTCATTTGTTATTTGCATGTACTTGGTAAACACACTTTTCACTTATATATTTGTTTTGTTGTCCACAGGGGTTATGTTGGAATTTAACACCAATCACTGTCAATTCATGGTTAAATATTTATTCACAGTTGTCTAGCTTAACAAGTAAAAACATCAAAACATCAAACTTCAACATCCCTAGCTATTCACAACCAAGATTTGTTCAAGTTGCACAAGTAGGTCTTTTCTTGAATATTTATTTTCTATTCAGTGTGTTATTGGTTGCTTCTCAGTCTTTAACCTTTTCTTTATTTTATGTATCTGTGCATGTGAACATGGATGCATTTATGTCTTAGTTGATGGTATAACTTATAATTTGCTCAAATATTAAATGTATCCTAGAAACTGCACACCTACCCAAATCCTAAACCAAAATGAACTTATCAGTTGACTGTTGTCAGGTTAGGGAGACTGTAGTTGCACAGGTATCAAAATCAGTCCATGTTAAGCAAGTTGTGTGATATTTTGCGAGCCCTGTTGGAGATACAGTGTAGGAAAAATACCAGCAATGAGCAGAGTGTATGCTCATAACAGGTTAAACCAGGTGGGTACATTTCGCTGACCCCCAGTCAGTCCATGGACTACCCTTATGGACTACCCTAAATTACCTACCTTCACAGAAGCGAATCGAGCAAAAAGAGGGACTTCATTCTCTTTTGTACCAGACACATTCAAGTTGCGACAACCTGTTAAAAATAAACTGATCTGTCACTTAATAACTAATAACTCCACCTCAATTTGTCGCCCACTATATTCCCATGGCTGTTATTAAAGAGAAAACAAAAATGCTTCGAGAATCTACCTGGACTGCTTGATCGCTCTTGACTGACGCATGGTTGGTGTTGTTGTGTGGCTTTAGTTTAAGCTTCAATATACTAATCATCTGAATATGCTCTAATCATCTGAATATCGCAATATCCGTGAAGATAGCTACACTGTAGAGCTGGGACCAGAGATATTTCCTAGAATGTAACTATTTCCTGCTGACATAACAGGAAATAGTTACACTTACAGACAAAGAAAGGCAGGGGTTGCACTAACACTTTTGGTGTTTACATTGGACATAAAATCTGTCATCGCGTGCTTGCGACAAGTGCGACCCTTTTGTCGCAACCAGACATAACTATGTTCAAAGGACCTAAAGATCAAAAAAGCCGATGTCCTGCCTCTTGAGGACAGCCAAGTTTATAAAACTAACTGTAACAGCCAAGCTTACAAGATACAAGATTGTAAATTCAAATTACTCACAACCCTTCACGTGTGATGAATGAATAAAGAACAAAGAGGAACAGCTGACCAGTGGCATTAAGAAAACAAAATGACGATCATCAATCGTTGATCTGTCTTTTTAAAGATAGTTAATTTAGGGTAGTCCATATGGGTAGTCCATGGACTGGGGTCAGCGAAATGTACCCACCCGGCTAAACAACTGAAAATGGGATTAAGTAGTATTGACTGCTTTCATAATTTTATTCATTTGTTTAGCTATTAGATCTGTGTACCCTGGATGTTGGTTCACTGCAGTTCTCTTACAGTATTCTGGTGGCGTCAGCTCTCTACCACATGCTTCCTGTTGATGTTGAAGAAGTCACAGGTAGGGAACAAGAAAGATCAGAATTGTAAAACACTAATAATCAGTAACATCCTATGTTAAGTCACAGGTAGGGAACAAGAAAGATCAGAATTGTAAACACTAATAATCAGTAACATCCTATGTTAAGTTAATGAATTTATAAAAGAATGATTCCTTCACATAAAAAGGTATTGGCAATAATACATAACATATTAGTGATGTACAGTCATGATCTGCAATTTTTCTCAGTTCTTTAAGAGGCAGACTATGGACAGCAGGTCAATCAGGCATTGGAGTTCAGAGAATGCTTTTGAGCCTCAGCCTTTTTATCACAAAAAGAGTGTTCTATTGTTATTTCAAACCATTTTCCTGCAATTTCTTAATGAAAACCTTTATGAACTTTTAACTACTTAAAGTGAGGCACTGAGAAGTGTAAGCAACAGTGTGACTTTGTGGCCATTGCCAGAGCACATTAGAAAGGTCAATTATTATTATTATTATTATGCTATGCTAGTAACGAAAGTAATTTTACACTGAATTCCAGGACATTCACCAGAGGAACTTCACCCATGTATTCACTGGATGACATCTTTTGCCCATGTCATTATGGAGAAAGGAGTGGCAACTACAAAAAGTTTTGAGCAAGTTCAACGCGAAGATGCTCACAACATCCAAACTCATGCAGTAGACATAGCATTACTTGTAAGTGAAAACTTTAAAAAAATATATATATATTTATTAAAAACTAGATCATTGGATAATGCAATTCAAGACTTTTTATTGGCTTAGCCATTATGGTATATCAGCCAATATACCATAATCTACAAATATGGCAAGCGTACGTGTCAGCTTAAAATTAAAAGGGAGCTAAAAATTTAATAAAATTTAATAATTTAATTTAACGTTTTTAATAAAACAATTATTCCACTCGCGCTTGTTGGATATGAGATGATTATAGCCAACTCGGCGCTACGCGCCTCGTTGGCTATCTATCATCTCATATCCGACGCGCGCTTGTGGAATAATTGTTAAATATATATTAAATATTGTACTTGTTCATACCTGTACAACTGGCTTAACTCTTAAACCCCAAGAGTGATTATTATTAAATTTCTCCCCACTACATCACCCCCAAATCAAACTTGAAAGCTAAGAGAATAGAGGAAATGATCACCAACAGACCTTGATTGTTATACAAATTCTCCTTGTCACCACCTCAGGAATTGTATAGAGTACAGTATGGAGAATATGCATACTGATGTTGAGGTGCAGAGGGTTAAATGAAAATTTTTAGGATCCTAGTTGTCTATACTGTTGCTGCAGATCATCCCAGTCACCAAACAACGAAGTGGGTGGGACTACCATACTACCTTTGCTAGTCTAAAGGGCATATACTTTGATATCGTGATCCAAAGTTCAGTTTGCTGAGACACCATGCCACTTTCACTCATACTTTTACCTTTTAAGTAGCTTCCTTTATTAATTATTTAAAATAAAATAATTGCAAAGTTTTGGCCAAATTCAAATTTAATAACAATGTGGATGCAAGAACTCTTCAACTTCTATAATCAAGCAAATACCATAAACTGTCACACCTTTTACAGACAGTCTCCTAAATTTCCAACATAGAATTTTAATTAAAATGACATATTTACTTTTCAGGATAAAGCTCAAGCTCTTCAAAGCACTCTTGTTAGAGAAACAACAGAAAACAGGTCAAGATCTCCAAACCTTGAATCCTTTAAACCCCTTACCCCGCCAAGCAGCACAAAAAAACCTGCCTTAGACTCTGTCATAATGATAGATTGAAGCAAAGTAGGTCTACTTTGAACTTTATTCATGCTCTACTTTATCTCTAGAATGCTTTCTTAGGGTTTCACAATGAGACCAAAATATCATTTGGTAATTGTCACGCTCTCCTTGTGATGTTAGCTCTATTACCCCCAGCAGTGATCAAAAATGAATTATTGCAATTGTCTTCACAATTTCAAGCAGAAAATTAACATCAAGAATCAAGTAAACATCAAGTAGGCAACACTGCTTAATTTAGCACCAGGAGACTTAGATCTAATATTATAAGAAATGTATAGCAAATAGTGTGAACAATTGATACTTAGCTCCTGGAATTGCAAGCAGTAACAATCAGGTAATTTACTAAAATGTGGCATAGGTCACAAAAAAACTTTGGGATAGAGACGGATGTTCACCAAAATGATATTGACAATGCAATCTCTACCATTAGTACTTTTAACTCAGGATTCTTAGAGTTGTTCAGACAATGAAGTGAACTAAAATCTTGTTTGGTCCATTTTGCATTTTGATCCCAGTTAGGAATCTTCCAACTATTTTACCATCAGGTGTTCTTTTGTGTGTCTACCCTTTTTAATATTTGTACATATTTTTAAAGAAACCTTCAAAAGTAACAAATGTAAAGTTGGACTGACCATTTGCTAAGTGTGTACCTGGAGCCTACATTTTTATTTCTTATAACTTTTTTTTATAAAAACAAAACCACATTTGTAATAGACATAAGACCAGGGCTCGACACTAACTTTTCAAATTACTAGCCAAGTGGCTAGTGACAACTTAAATGTTACAACAATTTCAGTTTGTTTACTAGCAAAACTGGCTAGTGGAAATTGAAAACCACTAGCCAAAACTGAATTTCTACTAGTCTGTGGCTAGTTGGCTACCGTTGGTGTTGAGCCCTGAAGACTATTTCCGAATTTTAAAAAGATTAGGTTTTTCATTGCTTCTGAAGGGCTGGTCATATGTTCCTTATCTTAAGAAATTTTGTGTGTGTGACAAATCATTTTTGAATGACAAAGATAGAAGGAAAAGTAGGAACTCACTGGATAAGGCACCAAATTCTCAGCTTATTTACCAAGAAATAAAAATGAGCTGTAAATTAGAGTTTGTTATTAGATTTTGGGAGTCAAATGGTGAATTTGCCAAATGGCCAACAGTTTTACAAGGTGAGTTTTTTTTAAAGTGTCACTTGACTTAAAACAACCAGTTTTTTTTTTCTTTTGAGAATTATTTTTGAAGAGGGATGAAGACTTAATGATGTGAAATATTTTAAGTATATTACGTGGATTTCTGGTTGAGCCGTAGTCTGACTACATCATAAAACTGTTGTATTTTTTAGTGTAAGTATCATGACAGGACAGTATTTTTTTTTTTCAAGGTTCTTCAGAAGTGTAATTATCATAATAGGTAATTTTGTTTTGCATCAAACTTTCTACAACATTTAAACTTCCTCTTTTGAAAGAGGCACAAAGTAGGGTGTGAATTGCCTTGATATACCACATCAATTATTTCACAGTAGTTTACTGACTTGTGTACAAAACCACTTAGAGCATGTTAAAGCTTACAGAGTGTAATTATTTAGGTAGGCTATTGAAATTTTTTTTAAAAAATTATTCCATGGAGAACATTAAGGAACAAAATTTGTATATTTGTATGCAGATAAATAAAGTTTGTCAGTTAATTTTGTCCATCTTAATGAAATTATTTAGAGTTAAAACATTAAGTAAACATTGATGGCCCAATCAGTGCAAGCAAGAGCTTACCCCAGTTTCCATGGCTAGTCTATTGCAGGTTAAACTCTCCCCTC